ATACTCGCACATTGTTGGAACGACTCTTCCTCCTGGAAGGCATATCAAGATTTGAAACCAGTAAGAAAGCGCGAGAGCGCACAGTTCATTATCGGTCGATCTAACGGGCGCCTTATATAGCTACAGTGCTTAGCCGTTTTTTATTCTGTTGTTATTGTTTGCTTGTTGTTGCTGATAGTTCTATTTTATTCTCGTCTTCTCTTCTTCACATCGTGTCCACGCATCAACAATCTCAGCTGATGCACTACATGATAAACTTGGAACGAAGTGCCGCCAAGAGATCACGATGGAAGTGTCGTAGGCTCAAAATTCAAGAGAATTTAAAATTTTTACATTCTCGCTTGTGTATTCCAAGCGGCAGCGGAAGCGACTGATTAGGGGTTCGGCGGCATTGTCGCAATATATCTATGCAAAATTCTTCCAATATAAGTAGATTTTGAACATCTGATGGGTTTTGAATTCTTGTAGCATTGTCTTTCCAGATATAGGCATTTAATATCAAGAAAATCATTTTGAACCACGTTATGGAGCTTCGACGGTTCAGTCCATCTTGTTAACCTAACTTAAGGATATGGTCAGTTGTATTCGTGCGAGATTCTTCATTGCCGCGCTAGTTTGCGGGAGACGTTAATAAGGCTTTTTTGCAGCATCTTTGTGTATTTTATAGACTCGCAGTTATCATTTTTCTGTGAATATTCACAAGAGAAATCGTACGTGGTGAGAATATGGCGCATCGGCAAGAGTAGAAGTAGTTTGTAGCTCTATGCAAAAAAGTTCCTGTGAAATAATAGAAGCAGGAATGGTTTCAAAAACATTAGGTATGCATAGGCATACATTCCATCCATGCGTAAATTACTAGCTCTCAAAATGAAGGTTTGTGATAGTCCCCATCTACTGGAATTTTACAAACAATCATCACCTGAGCTCTTTGTTCATGAGAGGCGTAAGCGATTGGAGAAAATGGAAGAAGCGGGATAAATTTGCCGGAACCAGGTGTAGTTTGAAGCTGATTTTTTGTCCATACAACCTTTGATTAAGCACATATTTTTGGTTAGAGGGAAATCTAGAACAAGACCCTACCTTTCCACGCGAAATGGTTGTTTCTGCTATACCATGTATCACTTGTCCCTCGTAAACGTTGTAATCAATAGCCTAGATTCAAAACTCATTTATCGAGATTACTTTGAGAAGTCATTGGATACATGGTGGTGAGTCGACTTCGAGACGACTCTGCTGGCATTTGGATTCCAAATTACCACGTCTGCATCGGAACCAATGGCAATTCTGCCCTTTCTGGGATAGATGTTGAAGATCTTGGCTGCCATCGAGCTACAAAACACATTGCGCATTCAGTAGTGCGGTCAACTTCTTACCTTGTAATTGATACAAATTTCATTGGATCAATCTTAGCTCGGTAGACTCCTCGCTCCCATGCGATACCCATTCGGTCTTCAATTCCATTCACGCCGTTGGGAATTTTCGTGAAATCATTTAAGCCCATTGCTTTTTGTGCATTCGTAAATGTGCAGTTATCCGTGCCTATGAGTTGAAGTTCTCCACTGCAAGCGATCAG